ACGGTGTTTGCTTCTATAAAAGGAAAGTTAAATATTCATGCTTAGGAATCGTTTGTTGCACCCCCAAATTTCCAAATTAACATTCAAAAAAAGGTGACCCTAGAGAATAGACAGTTTGCTTCATGTTGAAACAATGGAATACTCACAATATCACTTCTTCAAGCAACCCCAATATCAATAATTATAATGCAGTGCTAACAGCTTAAGCATTGTTGAGAAACAACTTACAAAAACAGAGGAGGGTTTTTCATGGAGGAGTTGGTGGTGGAAAATCTTATCCAGGGTGGAAGAGAAGCCCGGATTCAGGCGGCTACCGAGCTCAGTAAGCTCAGCAGCCGACAGAGGCAGAAACTGGCGGAAAGAGGAGTGATTCCTCCATTGGTGTCGATGCTTCATTCCCAGGATTATGAAGCCATTGAAGCTGCTCTCTTGGCTCTGCTTGGTCTTGCCTCCGGCAGTGAAAGGTATCTATTCTGCCTCCAGCTTTGGTTTGATTTAATCCTCTCAATTTGTTTGATTCTGTTCTTAATAATTCATTCTGAAGCTAAATGAAACTTCAATTTTGAAGGAACAAGATCAGGATTGTAAAAGCTGGGGTTATTCCAGTGTTGTTGGAGCTCCTTCAATGCCAGAATGAGGTGCTGAATGAACTTGCTATAGCGGCAATGCTGATCCTTTCTTCTTGCAGAGGAAACAAGCTAGCAATTGCATCTTCTGGGGCTGTACAGCTTCTTGTAGAAGCACTTAACGTTAGCAGCTTCAGCTTTCAAGCCAGGCTTGATACCATAGCTACTCTCCACAGTCTATCTACTTGCCATCAGATTGTTCCGTTGATTGTCTCCTCTGGCTCAATATATACCCTGCTTGAACTAATTCACAGCTCAGAGAAATCGTCGGAATTAACAGAGAAGGCAGTGGCATTGCTCGAGAATGTTGTCTCCACATCAGAGAATGCACTTCAGGAAACTGCTGGTACCGGAGGTGCCATCCGGGTTTTGGTGGAGGCAGTGGAAGAGGGTTCTCATCAGTGCAAAGAGCATGCTGTGGGAATCCTTCTGCATATATGTCAGAGCTGCAGAGAGAAGTACAGGGGATTGATATTGAGGGAAGGTGCAATGCCAGGGCTGCTCCAGCTAAGTGTTGATGGAACATGGAAGGCAAAGAATATGGCTCGAGAGCTGCTGATGCACCTGAGGGATTGCTCAAACTATGGATCAACGAGTAAACAGTCGAAACACGAGGTTGTAGAGGAGATTATGCAGGCTATTGATGCAGAAGGAGAAAAAGTTAACGGATCGACACTGAGATTGGTAGAAGAGATGATAGCGAAGCTCAGGACATGACTTTTCGGTTCTTTGAGAAACAGATGTCTTGGCCTTAGGTTATAGGCTCAGTTGTGGGATTGAAGTACCTGTACATAAGATTGGTATTGGATAGCAAATATTCAGGAGTTTTATCTTTAAATTGTTATGATCTTTAACATTAGAAAGACGATTATGACATTCAGCCATTTGAATTAAGTTAATGATTTATTACAATATGCGTAGAAGTAAGCTCTAATCATTTAGTTCAGGAAAGACCAAAAAAAAACAGTATCGTGCAATTCAATGTACACCATTGCAGTCTGGACTGCAAGACAATAGACACTTCAAATAATCTATCAAAATAAATAAGTGTTTATAAATTATAATTCGTTCAGAAATCAACAAAGACAAATCAGTGGAGTAGTACTTCATCCATACCGTATCTAAAATTTGGTAATTCATCCCACCCTGACAAAATAACATATCTATATCATCATTCTCCTATAGAAGCACTCTATTAGGAGGATTATTTAATTAAATCTATTGCATCTGTCTACAAAAACAGTGGGTAAACAAACCCACAGGGAAGCGGAAATATGCGGATTATAACTTATGTAAGGCTTATTTCAGCCTGACCTTCTGTAGTAGCTGTAAGCCACGGCAACAGTGGCTGCTGCTCCAACCACAGCAGCAGCTGCAAGAACATCATGTTGCTCCCAGGAGCAGACCCAGCCTTTCAATCCCCACAGGGAACACTTTCCATGCACTTCCTGTTTTGGTTTGTTCTCTTCGCTCACTTCAGAAATAGGCTCCCTACAACAGGAAAACCCATTAGCACCTTGACAACAGCCACCCACATTTTCTTTGGTTTCCTGAATCTTAGTTTCTTCATGATGCTTCTTCACTTTCTTTGCCTCTTTTCCATTTGGAAGCTTCTGTTCAGCTGCTTTATCGCTTTCTACAATAGATGCCCCCATTTGGCCCCTGCAAAAATGTCATGTAAGTGATCCAAAGCTTTCTTAATCCATCCTTATTTACATTCTAAAATCAGACTAGAAATTCTGATGGCTAAAATAAACCAAATAAGGGTTAGTTAGGGCAGCTTAAAAGTTATAATCTTTGAAAAGTAATAATAAAATATTAAAAACAAAAGCATATAAAGTGTACTTAAGTGACGTTCCTTAATACAGTGGGCAAATGGATTTAGGAAGGAGGGTCAGGAAAAAGACTAATAAAATATTAATTGTCACCATGGAATAACAAACTGAAAGACGGAAAGTGGTGGAAAAAAACCAAAGTGAAAGATACAATTCAATGATAGTTACTTCAAAGCTCACCCAAATTAAAAATCCATAGGTAGTTTAATTTTATTTTTTAATTTTTTTTTAATCATCAGAGCAGGAAATAAGATGTTACGTGTATTGCAGCTATTGCTTCTGCAATCCTACAGAGATGACATAGAGCATAAAGACAACGGTAGGTCTAGGACAAACTTCAACTTTATTTCTGTTGAAGTTTATGTAGATAACAGATGGTATCCTTACATTCATAAATTTTATGTATAGCTAGTCCGCAATTAAAAGTATCAGAATGATCTAAAAAACAAGTCAGGCACAAGCAAGCAACACAAACCTCCAAAGGCGCTCTATTATCTCTCCCTTTGCAATGTGCTGATCCAGCAACTCTGGAACATCATTAGGAGTAACATAGCCAAACCTGCAAAGGAATAGAGCAAATATTCCAATGATACAAAGATGCCTTCAAGTGTCAATGTCCCAGTATGAATCTAGAATTTCAATCTTACCAATGGCCCATAATTTTTCCCTCAGAATCTGGGCTATAGATTATCAAGTTCCCAGCATACTTGTGGCCTCCAATGTGAGAGCAAGCTCTTACAAACACCTGATCACTCAATCCTCGCAACTCAATCTCCTCTTTGAACTTCTCAATTAAAGCTGGCCCACAAACTCCACATCTCTTATCTCGATTTCCATGAGCACACACAAACACATAGGAACCAGTTATCGACTCTGACACTCCAGAAGCCCATGGTTTGCCATTCACAAGCACATCGTCAACAAAACCATCAACAACTGAGTCTGTCAAGCCCCTTTAATAAAAAAGTAATAGAGCAACATCAGCACAAAGAAACTCATGCTTCAAAATATTAATAGCATTATTTCATTAACAAAAGAAAAGAAGAAAAAAAGAACCCATGTTAATCCTCATGACAATGAAAATCAGCACCATCTTACCCAGCTTAAAGATGTCAAGAAGAAACCGTAACCTTCCTATTTTAGTCATATCTCTGATCTTTACATTGAATCTCAACACCATGTAATGCTTAGCAGAGAAAAATATAATGAACCCCCACACACATAATATCTCAAGTCAAGATCAGCATAGTCCTATTAGCTAACTTTCAATATCAAAAGTAAAATTCAGTTCAGATGGAACAAATTTCCCACTTATCTTAAAATTTCACCGCTAGTCTTCAAGTTGTTAAACAACCATTACCACTAATCTAATTACTTGAAAATAAAAACTCTATCCCACACTCAACTAGCAAATTTCCATCCAATATCCAGAGTAAAGTCAACATTATCATCCTGTTTAAGAAAAGGAATCCAACCTTTTAAAAGAACTCAAAAATGGTAACCAATTCAAAAACTCACTTGTATTTGATCATTTCAGGAAAAATCAGAACATCTCCGTCCGAGTCCCCTCCCTCGCATACAGTTAGCTTTGTCTATCGACAGATCAAAGACACCACAAAATCACAATCAATCAACAGTTACAATCTAATATGAGTAATATCCAAACCTCAAACAAAGAAACGCAGAAGCCAATACACAATAAGAAAAACCCTAAGGAACGAACCTTAAAAGTCATATCGTCTTTGCGAGATTTGAAGGCGGAGGATAGGAGCTTGGGAAGGAGATCCTCCTCCACACGCGATGCCCACTCGGTTGGGGACTTATGGCAGAGGAAGACGTGGCGGTCGTAAGCATCGACGGTGCCGGCGAGGTTGGTGGAGAACATCTCGGGGCGCGTGAACCCGAACTTGGAGTCCTCATCAGCGGAGACAGTCGAGATGGTATCGATTTCCGCCATTGCAAACGGAGCTAGAGTATTCCGGATCGGGACCTGGCGAAGGCGACTGCGGGGTTTTCGTGGGAGAGTGACGAGGATGCGTTGATTCGTAGTCGAAGATATGACGGAGATGAGAGTGACGGCAGGGTGCGCAATGCGCATAGGGTTTTCCTGTGCAACAGAGTTCAGAATAGGGGATACAGGGAGGCTGGGGAGATGATATAAAGGGTGACGGACACGCGCTATGCGAGGATGATGGAAAGACGACTTGCAAATAGTTTTCATTTATTAGAGAGTATTTCTAAATTATTTAAAAA